TCCACCAAATGGCTGACTTTCCATTTCTCCTTCAAAAAGAAGGTAAAATCTTGATTTCACAAGTTCTGACAGAAATAGGTCAGTCGGCCATCAAATTGTGAGGCCTGAGGGAGCCATTAACATGAAGCCATTTAGGAAACATCTCAGTGGCCTCATAATAGCTGGGAAACGTAGTTCTCCTTCAAATTTTGAATACGTTAGGAGTAAGAATGGGAGATTTGAGTAGGGATGACGATTATTTAGCCAGAGGAGAAATTTCTCTTGAGGAGAAATTTATTCAGACCCTTTGGACACCTATCAAAGGGCAAACTGTACATTTCATGCAATAGGTATCTAAAAAAAACACAATTTCTGGTGCCAGATGGTTCTTTGGGGAAGGACAGACTAATTTACAACCACTCTTCTCAACTATATTTTGCACTGAACATCGGAGAGTACAATGCCATTTCCTTGTTGAGCACTTCCAACTGAATATCAAAGTGTGTTAATTATTCTCTTGAGTTGCAGTTAAGTGAAGGAGGATTTCATTGCCTGGGCACATTGCCAAAATGTCCCTCACTTTAGTTATTTTTCAAGGGAAAGCACAAAGTAGAATGAGGGTGGGTCTCCATGAGCTGCAGAAACAGTGACTGAGCCCCAAGAATGAACGCCACGTCACGTGACAGGTGAAAGCCAGGAAGCTGGAGAAAAGCGAGGGTGCTAGACCAGTCTGATAGCCAGTTTTAATTAAAGCAAGAAATTATTTTAAATGATGTTTGATATGGCGTGCCCTCTTTTCCAGTTACAAGTTGAATCGATACTGTCCACATGATCACTTCTGTCCCCTAATTCTTAATTCATTTGCAGATTAATAAGCGAACAGATTAATGTGATGTTTGGGGACTAAAATATTAAGATTCGTCCTTCTCTTCCCATCTGTCTTCTCCTTCTCCTTCTCCTCATGGTCTATCTTTACTTTCCCTTCCTTCTCCTTCTTTTAGGGCTTTATGCAAATCCAGCCCATTTGATTAATTTATGATTTAGCTTGAAGCAAGGAGTGATCATGCAACTTGTTTCTGTGTGCCCATAATACTGAGTTAACCTATCTATCTTCTCCTCCTTATTTATCTACTCCTCCTCATTCTCTATCTTCTCCTCTTTCCTCTTCTCCTTCTCCTTCTCTTAGTGCTTTGTGCAAACTCAGCCCACTTGATTAATTTATGATTTAGTGCTAATCAAGGAAACATGTTTCTCTGTGCTCATAACATTGAGTTGAGAAGATGCTTCTTGACATCCTATTAATCAAGCCCTGAAAACTGTTTTAGGGCGCCATTCCGTGACTTGGATAGGATGAAGAAAAAAATTCTCCAAATAGTAATGGATGCAATCACACGACTTAATCCCCTCTTTTCCAAACATATACTATCAAATCCTGCTAGAGTCACATTATGATTGGCCTATATCCATCCCGTTTCCCTATTTTCTGCATGGCCAAATATAGGCTTTCTATCTCTAATTAGCGGAGACTTGTTCCATTTCTCTTCCATGGGGAACAAACAGCAGACTGTGCCTCTGTTGACCCTATAAAAAAGCCACATGAGTTTTATACAGTAGAGCAGCCATTCAATAACAAAGAAGGTTTAATAGATTTTTTTTTAAAAAAAAAAGAAGAAAAAAGAAAAGAAATCTTTTTCCAGAAAAGCCTATTCTGAACTGAAGCTTGAGTATTTTTGGCAAAACCCTGAAAGGTCCTGGAAATGAACAGCAGTCTTATGTTTAAATTCTGCATTCATGGCTCTGATTTATTCGAGGGAGGAGAGGGAGAGAAAGAATTACAAGCTCTGTAAGTATGAAACAGAGGGCCTAGCAGTGTTGGCCCGATCCACTGTGAAGTCATTGCAAACAAAAAGAAAAAAATGAGATCCCAACTATGTGTAGCTTGGCAGCAGAACTTTCCAAAAACCTAAAGTTTTCAAAGTCATTGGTATTTGCCAGCGAGACATATGTCTTCCCTGAAGAAACTGAGGATGGAGTAGGAGTCCATGGGAAACTTGCTCACAGTGTCGTGGTGCTAAGAATGCTGATTTGAATTTCCGTCCTGAGCCATGTGCAAAGTTAATAGGGTGAACAGAGGCTCTTTCTGCCTCTTTTGGGTGACCGAGAAGAACTAAGAGTGACATGATAGTCTTCAAAGAAAGCAACAGAGACGATGAAGAGTCTGGAGATTAGATAGCATAACGAACAATTTAGGGAACTGGGCATGTTTAGCCCAATGAAGAGTAGGGCTGACATGATAGCAGTCTTCCAGTATCTGAGGGGCTATCACAGAGAGAAAGGGGTCAATCTATTCTCCAAAGTGCCAGAGAGCAAGACCAGAAGCAATGGATGGAAGCTTATCAAGGAGGGAAGCAACCTAGAACTAAGGAGAAACTTCCTGACAGTGAGGACAATTAACCAGTGGAATGGCTTGTGGCTGCTCCATCACTGGAGGTTTTCAAGAAGAGACTGGACAGCTATTTGTCTGGAATGCTGTAGGGTCTCCTGCCTGAGCAGGGGGTTGGACTAGATGACCTCCACGGTCCTTTTCAACTCTGTTATTCTGATGTTCTGATGTAGATGAGTGTGGGTAAAGCCTGGGAGGCCAATTAGCAGATACAGACGATCTAACGGTGATGGTGTTTATCCAGAATCACAAATACCCAGGTTCTGTCGCAGAATCCAGGTTGGGCTGAGAAGAACTGAGCCACGGCTATAAAATTGGCAGGAAAAAAAAGCTAGGTCAGCTGTCTTCAGCTCTTGGAATAAATTGCTCTAACCATTCATCTCAGCCTGATGAGACATATGCTCTCAGCATGAGCAAACTGAACGCTCCCAGGTTGAGAAGAACATGAGGAGAAGCAGTTGAGCTGATGATCAGCTACCATCAACGAGCCCTGACTGAAGGACAAATTCTGAAAAAAAATTCGGCATCCCATGCTGAGTTTCCAAAGAGCAGCCAGCCGGAAGCAAGAGAAATAAATTTAAATTAAAAAGTCATTTCTCTCTTACTTTCCAGGAGTCTTTTCCAGTGGCCTATTTCCTCCGCTTGAGTTCCATTTTTAGAACAGGACCAGCTCTTTCTTCTTTTACTCCAGTGAGGACCTGCTGGTTCCAATCTACAGGTTTTTATTTAAAATAAGAGCCGTCTGGAGCATTTTTTTTTTTTAAATTGGGAAAGGTTCCTGGAAACTGCAAGGAGATGAGATGAGAGAGATTATCCGGGCGAGGAAATAAAAACCTGCCAGTTAGAGAATGTTGAATTTTATCGCTCTTTTCCTTTCAGATTGTCTCTCTCTGTGTGCATCCCCGCTTTATTTGGGTCTCGAAGAATGAAAATCAATCCAGTCTTGTAAAATCACAATAAAAACTTTATTTACCATAGGAACTAGCTAGGAACTGTCTCGTAAAAGAGAAAGTGTTTGTTTTATTGGGTGCCAGTTTCTGTGCTGGCACAGGAAGCAACATCCTTCTTCAGTTTGGGTTCCATTTTCCAACTTTTGCACAGCCAAGTCATTCATCCCTAATTTATTTGCTATCATTTCCTGATTTCAGCTGAATGTTCTGGCGATGGCTTGACATAGCAAAGGAAAGTGCTGCCTTTTTTTTCCCCCACCTCTTTTCATTACGGTCTCCGAGCTTGCATTGTGTTGCAAACTTGATCACTTCCCAATTCAGTGCTGATCCCTTCCTGCAGGTCATTCCAGTGTGGGGGTATTGATTTCACAGCAAATTAATTGAGTCTATCTCATGTTAACTCTTGCAGAACCAAAAGCAGAGGCAGACTTGAAGCTCTGAGTTGCATCTGAGTGGAGTCTCTTCTTTCCAACATAAAAACAGCTGTTTGTCTACAAAGCTCTGAAGGAACTGAGAATGGGCCTCTCTGTGTGGGTCGTGGCCTTGGTGGCCATCTTTTTGTTCCATCAAGATGCTAGCGGTGGACTCATCAACAGAATTATTCGGCAGAAGAGGGAGACAGGAATCAACGTGACGCTGCCGGAGGATAACCATCCTGTGGTCTTCAACCATGTCTACAATATCAATGTCCCCGTAGGCTCCCTTTGCTCCGTGGACTTGGACGCTCCCAGCGGAGACTCGGAATTCAAACTTCCATCCGAGCCAGGCAAACACTATCAGGAGCACACGCTGAATGAAGAAAATCAGATTGTGTTCACACACCGGATCAATATTCCACGGCGGGCTTGCGGTTGTGCAGCTGCCCCTGATATCAAGGACCTACTAAGCCGACTTGAAGAATTGGAAGAACTGGTATCTTCTCTGCAGGAACAGTGCGGCAGTGCGTCAGGATGCTGTTCCAGTGCTCAAACAGCAAAAGGTAAGTTAGGGGAATTCAGAAGCAAGGTGGAATGGAATAAAAGAGAAGGACTAGAATTCTCAAACAAAAAAATTGAAGAACTAGACTTCCTAAACAAAGAAATAGAAGAACTAGAATTCCCAAACAAAGAAATAGAAGAACTGGAATTCCCAAAGACATAGAAGAACTAGAATTCCCAAACAAAGAAATAGAAGAACTAGACTTCCCAAGCAAAGAAATAGAAGAACTAGAATTCCTAAACAGGAGTATTTCTCTTTTGAACCTTTTGTGGTAGACCACATTTTGTTCATGTCCCATTTGTATTTAAATTCCGTCCCTCCATTACTTTCAAGGATGAGAAATAAATAAATAATTTGATTTCCCCCCCCACAAGGCAAAGGACATTAAAAATATGAGGCAAGTCTAGAACATTCTGTTTCAGGACCCTGGACAGCACTACAGGTATTGGCCTGGAGGTTCCTGACTGACATTCAGTACCATGGTTAGCAACTCTATGGCTAAGTTATGTAGAGCTTAGAACACATACTGACCCAGTGATTGTACTATTCAGATCTGGTAGAAAACCAATGTCTTGTAAAAAGGAGGAGGGGTCATTTGTAATCCCATCTGGATTCACCCATATAAAAAATAAAATATGACCAACTAACTAGAGCTTCAGTAAGTTCTCCATAACCCCATTGCCTTATGGGAAAGAATTCCATTAACAGTACGTTGATATTTGCATCCGCAGCATGTTCATTTTTTTCTTTCCCTTCATTGTTATCGTTGTTATGTTTATATTCTGCTTTGTCTTTTCAAGCAAAAGATAATTTTCATGAGGAATTGTATTCCATCCTTCCAAGGTCGGTAAAATGAGGACCCAGATTGTTGCGGACAATATGTTGACTCTGTAAACACTTAGAGAGGACTGTAAAGCATTGTGAGTCGATATATAAGTCAGGTTCTATTGCTATTGCTGTAGTTGATCAGATATTGCATTAGGAGCCATGGTGGTGCAGTGGTTAGAATGCAGTATGGCAGGCTAAACTCTGCCCACAGCCTGGAATTCAATACTCAATGGCTCAAGGTTGACTCAGCCTTCCATCCTTCTGAGGTCGGTAAAATGAGGACCCAGATTGTTGGGGGCAAATATGCTGACTTTGTAAACCACTTAGGGAGGGCTGTAAAATATTGTGAACCTGTATATAAGTCTATTTTATTTGAACAGGTATTATTGAAGCTACACCCTATTGCAGCGGACGAGGAAACTACAGCAATGATGTTTGTGGCTGCATCTGCGAACAGGGCTGGAAAGGACCAAATTGCTCAGAGCCAGAATGCCCACAGAACTGCAATGAGAGGGGCCAGTGCATCAATGGCCAGTGTATTTGTGACTATGGTTACGCCGGTTATGATTGTGGGGAGCTGGCTTGTCCTGGGGACTGCAATGATCAAGGCAGATGTGTCAATGGAAAATGTGTGTGCTTTGATGGTTACGCTGGGGATGACTGTAGCCTTGAGGTCTGCTTGGTGCCCTGTAGTGAGTATGGCAAGTGTGTGAATGGACAATGTATCTGCATGGAAGGTTTCACTGGGGTAGACTGCAGCCAGACCCTTTGCCTTAACAACTGCAATAATCTGGGGCGCTGTGTGGAAGAAGAGTGTGTGTGTGATGACGGATACACGGGTGAGGACTGCAGTGAGCTCATTTGCCCCAACGATTGCTATGACCGGGGTCGTTGCATCAACGGCACCTGCTACTGTGAAACTGGGTTCACTGGTGAGGACTGTGGGGACCTGGCCTGTCCAAATGATTGCCACCATAATGGACACTGTGAGAATGGTGTGTGTGTGTGTGATGAAGGATTCACCGGAGATGACTGTTCTCTACGGAGGTGTCCCAACGACTGTCACAAACAGGGACGCTGTGTCAATGGGCAATGTGTGTGCAATGAAGGCTTCTTGGGACTAGACTGTGGAGAAGTGAGGTGTCTCAATGACTGCCACAACCAGGGGCAGTGTGTGAATGGCCAGTGTGTGTGTGACGAAGCCTTCATGGGGGAAGATTGCAGTGAACTAAGATGCCCCAAGGATTGCAACAATCATGGCCAGTGTGTTCGTGGGAAATGTCAGTGCGATAAGGATTACATGGGGGAGGATTGTGGAGATCTGAGATGCCTCCATGACTGCCACAACCGTGGTCAGTGCATCAAAGGGCAGTGTGTATGCAATGAAGGCTTTGTGGGTGAGGACTGCAGCCAGCGCAGGTGTCCCAACGATTGCCACAAGCGGGGGAAATGTGTGAATGGCCAGTGTGTATGTGAAGAAGCTTTCACTGGGCTTGATTGCAACGAACTACGGTGCCCCAATGACTGCAACAACCACGGACGCTGTGTTGATGGGCAATGCATTTGTGATGAAGGCTACACAGCTGAAGACTGCTCAGAACTGACTTGTCCCCAGGACTGCAACCGTCGCGGACGCTGTGTCAATGGAGTCTGTGAATGTAATGAAGGCTTCCTTGGGGAGGACTGTGGGGACCTAGCTTGCATCAACAATTGCAGCAACCAAGGCCGTTGTCTGAACGGACAGTGTGTATGCGATGAGGGCTTCACCGGTGTAGACTGTGCTCAACGGAAATGCCCCGACGACTGCAACAATAGAGGGCAATGCACTAATGGCGTGTGTCTGTGTGATGAAGGATATGAAGGGCCTGCTTGTGATGAACAGTCCTGCCCCAACAATTGCAATGATCTCGGTCGCTGTGTAGCTGGGCGATGTGTCTGTGAAGAAGGATTTATAGGTGCCGACTGTTCAGATGGTAAGTTGTACCAAATCACAGAATTGAAAGGGCACATGGAGAATCTAGAGGTGAATCCCTTGTGCAATTCCTATAATCTTCACCTTGAGGAGAATGGCAGTTGTAGACAATTACATCACTTTGGGGATAAGAGGGTTCTTTCAAACGATTACTCTACATATATAGCTTCAAGGAGTAGATTCCATAATTTGTTGCTGGGCATGTAGATCAGACTTTCGTAAGACAAATTTGGGGTTTGGTTCTACAAAGACAAATCTCTTTGCTTCTTGGACTTCTTCGATCACTTTTTTTCTTCTTCTTCTTTAAATCTTCATGACAGTATCTCCTCCAAAGGATTTGTTGATTACGGAAGTGACAGATAAGACCATTAACCTGGAATGGGCAAATGAAAATATTGTCAATGAGTATCTCATCAGCTACATTCCGACCAGCACTGGTGGCTTAGAACTTCATTTCCGGGTACCTGGAAATAAAACATCAGCCACCATTCAGGAGCTGGAACCTGGCGTGGAATATTTCATCCGTGTTTTTGCCATCCTAAGGAACAAAAAAAGCATCCCAATTAATGCCCGGATTGCTACTTGTAAGTACTTTAAAGGCCAAGTGAGTAATTTATGCTGTTAAATTAGGTATAATTATGGAAATCTATGCTATGTCAGTTAGCCTGTAAGTTTTGTGTTGCCTGAAGTAACTGGTGATAAAGGAGGCTGAGAAGCTCAAAAATTGACATCCAACACAAGCTAGGCCTACACTGTCTCCAAGTTGGGGGTATGGTTCATAGTGACCATCTTCACCTTATTTAATGTAACCGTGATTTACCAAATGACCCCAATTATAACAGAATAACAGAGTTGGAAGGGATCTTGGGAATCTTCTAGACCAACCCCCTGCTCAAGCAGGAGACCCAGGGGTAGGGAACCTTGGCTCTTTTATGACTTGTGGACTTCAATACCCAAAATTTCTGAACCAGCCATGCTGACTCAGGAATTCTGGGAGTTGAAGTCCACAAGCCCTATACCATTCCAGACAAATGGTTGTCCAGTCTCTTCTTAAAAACCTCCAGTTATGGAGCACCCACAATTTCTGGAAGGAAGCCCTTCCTCTGGTTAATTGTCCTCATTGTTAGGAAGTTTCTCCTAATTCCAGGTTGCTTCTCTCCTTGATTAGTTTCCATCCACGGCTTCTTATCCTACCTTCTGGTCCTTTGAAGAATAAGTTGACCCCCCTCTTCTTTGTGGCAGCCCCTCAAATATTGAAAGACTGCTGTCGTGTCATCCTAGTCCTTCTTTTCATTAAACTAGACATACGAAAGGGTGAAGATATAAAAATCATGGTGTTGACATGGTCTTCTTTGCTTCTGGTTTTCAGACTTGCCTGCCCCCGATGGCTTGAAGTTCAAATCCGTTAAAGAGACGTCCGTGGAAGTTGAATGGGATCCCTTTAATTTCCCTTTCCATGGGTGGGAGATCATCTTTAGAAGCATGGTAAGAAAGTTTTCGCCTAGGAAGCTTGCCATGGGATCCTGCTTTCCTTTCTGGCTACCTTCTTATTTGCTCATCGCAATGGTTTGCGTTGCAGAAAGAGGAAGACAATGGGGCCATCCGAAGCAGTCTGAAGAGCCCTCAGACTTCATACCTACAACACGGTCTTGCACCAGGACAGCAGTATAACGTATCTCTGGTTGCCGTGAAGAATCAGACCCGAGGACCTGCTGTGTCAAGGATTGTGACCACTAGTAAGTAGCCATTGAAGTATGTCAACCAAGAGATTGAGAGAAAGACCATAGCTTCTTCTTTTGCTCGTCGTGATTGTCGGAGATCATCCTTGCAAGCGTCCCTTGAGGGCTTTTAATCAAGTCAAGGAGGGCTTTTTTTAGGATGATTAGGAGAGCCAGGAGATGGGACAATGCATCTTTCCTAGGAAGGTAGTTCCTGATTTGGATTGAGATAATGGATCAGATCAGATTCCACCATTTACATCCACTCCAAAATGAGTTTGGACATTACTGTTCAAAACACTGCATGGGGGCAATTTACTATTTTTTAATTGATTCAGGAGAACCCTTTTGTGTCCGAAAAAAGACAGGGAAGAGATTGAAGCCTAGGAAACGGGCCCCTCATAGCCAACAGGAGTGCTGATCTACCACCAGCTTATCAAGTACTTAGGAGCCCAGGACTTGGCAGCAAAAGGAAACAGCCGATAGCCTACCATCAACACACCAATCATTCAATAGGAAGCTACACTCAACCAGGTGCCCCCAAAAATGCTCAGAATAGAGAGAAGTTCCTTGAAGATGGGCTCCAGCATGAGTCCTAAAGCTCAGAAAAATAAACCTCTGGTCCCAGGGACCACCGACCCAGATTGGATCCCGCAATTTTTGTGCCTGCCTGGTAGATCTTCTTATCAATTCAGAGCTGTTCAGTTCAATTCTGCCCTAGAAGCTGACATTCTGAGCCAATACGGAGAGCCAAATCATTTCAAATTGGTTTGACATCTGCAAAAGCCTCATTTTCTTTGTAGTTTAGACCTAGGGGAGTGTGTAATTTGAAGGAGAAAAGACTCTGATTGTTAAAAAGGAAAGAGAAGAACACCTGAGGGGGAAAAAGGTAGAGGAGAGTTCTTCAGAGTGGTCAATAGTGAGCTCAAGGGTCAATGGGACTATCCAAATGTCAACTGTCCAGCTGGCAAATTCAACACTGAAGAACCTCTATGGCCTTGAGGTGCCCCTAAGAGATCAGTTATACACACACAGGCACTGAAGAAGTCAAATCAACTCTACTTTTCTCACACAAAATTCTGGTTAGTTAACAATAGCTTTCCATAAACCCCACCCACCATGTGTTCACGTTGCCCAATCACATTCTCTCTGTTTGTTATGGGAACGGTCCATTTCTGCGTCAGACACCTGCTTTGGATGACCTTGGGTCTCAAGGTCCATGGATGGCTTCTTGAAACCCCCGTTCCTTTCCCATATTCCCCCTCCCCCCTGTTTCTAGGTTGAGCAGCGACAGAGGTTAGCGAGCCTCTTAGAAGCTCAATCTTGACATGAAGGAGCCAATGAGTTGAAGAGTTTGGGGACTCCTGATGTAAAGGAGAACTTACTCAAAATGGATTTGCTTTAAGGAAATCTTGCTCCACTGCACAGCCCTTTTCCAATTCTTCTTCTTTTTTTTTAATGATGAGGTTGTTCTGTATTCAGGTACATTAAATCTTTGCCTTGTCTTGTTTATTTTCTCCCAAGAACTGGATGCCCCCAGCCAGATTGAATCAAAGGATGTTACAGACACAACCGTCCTCATAACCTGGTTCAGACCCTTAGCTGAGATCGACGGACTTGAGCTGACTTATGGGCCCAAGGATACCCCAGGGGACCGCACCTCCATTGACCTGTCCGAAGATGAAAGCCAGTATTCCATTGGAAATCTGAAGCCTCACACTGAATATGAAGTGATCCTCGTGTCTCGGCGTGGAATTATGGCAAGTGATCCCATCACTGAAACTTTTGTCACAGGTATGAAATGTTTTTGTTTTTGCTTTGCTTTTTAGTACGGTTCTGCCATGCTCCAATTCACTAGCTTTTAGACTTTGAGGAACTGGTTTATGGAGATGACTATTAAAAATCTGGAAATCTGATATTCATTTTAGGTTAGGAATCTGCAATCCCCGGTCTGTGGACCAGCACCGGTCTGTGGCATGTCAGAAACTGGTCTGCACAAACAAGCGAAGCCTCATCCATGGGATGCAGGCAGCACATGAAACCATGCCTACATGTCTTTATGAGATCTGAAATAATTCTTGCTTTAATTGTTTCTAAGGATGTTCCCAATCTAGCTCTGATATTGGGGGGGGGGGGTAAAGAATTCAGGATATCCATAAAAAGGTAAAGTTTTCCCCTGTCCAGTCATGTCTAACTCTAAGGGGGGGGGTGCTCATCTCATTTTCCTAGCCAAGGGACGCAACGTTGTCCAAAGATGCGTCCATGATGATGTGGCTGGCATAACTATATGCCAAGGTGCATGGAACGCTGTTCCCTTCCCACTGAAGTGGTACCTATTGATCTACTCACATTTGCATGTTTTTGAACTGCTCGGAAGGCAAAACCTTCCAGTCCAATCTGATTGACCCAGATTGGATCCTGCAACATTATCCTGGGACACGTAGATTCGTCTTCATTCAGAAGATGATTTTGACGGCCATAAGCAAGCGCCATTCCCAAGACAATAAGGAGTAAAATACTTTCTTAAGTCCAGGACATCCAGATAACGTTCAGAAGACATTGAGGCAGAGACCTTTTCCTGTTCACTGAACTATAAGAAGCACCATCAGACTTGCAAGAATTCTGTGATTCTAACCAGCCTCAATAAAAGTCATTTTAGCTTTCCTGTGGAGTTTATTTCACGGTTTGGTCGGCCTGTTGGGGCTGACCTATTACTCATCTGTGTCCCTCATGTTGACATAGAACATTAGATTTCTTTCTCTCCTTCTTCCCAGATCTGGATGCTCCCCAAAATCTCAGACGCATTTCTCAGACAGACCACACCATCACCCTGGAGTGGAAAAACAGTCCGACGATGCCAGATCTTTACAGAATCAAATACGCACCCCTCGCTGGTGGAGATCACGCTGAGGTCACAGTGCCCAGAAGCACCCAGGGCACCTCCAAAGTTACACTCTCTGGTAGGGCCTCGGGAAGTCCCTGAAGTTATTGCCCAACAGACGTCGATCTAAATTCATTCATGATTTTGAGGGCTGGCAATTGAATGCTCTTTCTTTGATCCCAGGATGGAATGTTCCTTTAGCAGTCTATCCATACAATGAGATCAAAAGGAGATTATCTCTTTTTTTTGTGAGAAGCATACATTGACCCAACCACAATATTAGGTCTTCTTTGGGAGTGGTGTCCCACTTTTTGGGAAAGATTTCCCAAGGGAACTATCCCTATCAGGAGTGTTGTGTACTATCTTTGGTGTTCATTTTCATATAGTTATTTCTCCTGCTTTAAACTTATTTTCAATCCAGGTGCTATTAGACTTGTTCTATTTTGTTTTGGGGTTCTGGTACTTTGGGATACTTTGGGACAATGAATGATTATTTCTGAGAAGCAATATTAATAATTATTCATTCTTTAAGGCCTGAGACCGGGAACAGAATATGGCATTGGGGTAACCTCAGTGAAAGAGGACAAAGAGAGCGTTCCTTCCACCATCAATGCTGGAACCGGTAAGAAATATTCCTTCATTAAATAGGGAGGAAGAGAGGAACCTCTTGTGAAGGACTCTGAGGCTTAGGACAATTTATTGACTCTAGTTAAGCAAGCTAAAGTAGACTTTGCCTGGACTGTAACCAGTTTTAGGCACCAAAAGGTGCCCAAAAGGTCTGTGATACGGGGTCAAAAATTGGCAAAAAGGGTGGCTTTAGATGTAATTAAGCATGGCACTGATGATGTTACCTAGTTGGGTAATGAAATGTCTGCAAGAAAACCACCAAGTTCAGAAAGCACCAAGGACCACCCAATCCTCCTCCTCCTCCTCCTCCTCCTCCTCCTCCTCCTCCTCCCTCCACTCCACAAACCCCCTTCCCTTCTAGCACTGATGACACTACCTAGTTGGGTAATGAAATATCTGCAAGAAAGCCATCAAGTTCAGAGAACATCAAGGACTCCACAGTCCTCCTCCTCCTCCTCTTCCTCCTCTTTGCAAACCCCACCTCCTTCTAGCACTGGTGATGCTACCTAGTTGGGTAATGAAATGTCTGCAAGAAAACCATCAAGTTCAGAGAACACCAAGGACCGCACAGTTCAACCTTTAGCTACAAATATTCTCTTCTTTTGACAGTGTGTCTTTCTTTTCCTTAGCCAGTCCAGACCTAGGTTCTAAGAACCTGAACAAAAGAATTCTAAACTTCCACTTCCCAGCTTATCCCTTTGGTGCTACTGTTCATAAGATGGAGAACGTGTTCTCCTGACCTTCAATTCGAGCGTAGCTCTTTACAGTCTTTACCCGCTGTGTAGAATGAGACATATCGATGACAGATACTCATCCCATGGTCTGAGCGGAAAAAGGTAGCATGCACCGTGGAGTTCTTTCTGGAAGGCTGGAAAATAATTAAATGCACATTTCTCCTCTTTCTCTGTTCTTCTTAACGTCTGTTCTCAAGGCTTGGCAGAAGGAGTAGAGATGAGTTCGATCCACAGCTGTGTGGGCAAATGAACGATGTTGCCATGTTTTTCATTAAGGTTACCCAAAGAGGGCCTCCTCCTTCCCCACCCCCCACCCCCTTTTTTTTCTTCTTTGACATAATTCACAAAACTGGCCCAGGAGGCTCCAATTAAGAGTGAAAGAGACCTTTCTGATTGGTCAAAAAATTAATAATAGGGGAAAGTCCGTTGGACACCTCAAAGAAGTGAGCCAAACCAGCAAAATTAGTGGAAAGGCAGAAAGAAAGAGGGAGATCTGGATAGAGCTGTGTTCCTGAGCCAGAGTTAAGCCTGAATGTGCAGTTTAGACAAAAAAAAAAAGACTGAAATCAGCTCCCCCCCCCCTTAATTTGGAGTGGTAAAGGGAAACGAGGCAACTGGGACATGAACAGGAAACGCATTTGTACCTCATCTCTTTCCCACATAAAGGCAGCTTCTAAGAGTCATTTGGATCGAGCTAAATGCCACCGGTCCAGTTGTGGCTAACCACGGACTGTCCATGTTCCAGTTTTGAGCCATTTGCTCACCACTGTCTCTTACGTAAAGGAACATGTTCCACATGGCGCACAGGATGGGGAACCCCAAATCATTGGATCACTCTCTCGGATTTATTTTCCTGGGCAGCCCTATTCCATTAGTGGTACTTTCAACCGTTCAATGTGTCCAACTCTTGGCGACTTTATAGGCAAGTGCTCTCCACGCCACCCTTTCAAGGCCAGGCTTCTTTTGGTTATTGGATGTTCATTTTTGTATCATTTTTGATACAAAGAGCAGTGGTGGCCCAATGGTGAGAATGCAGTACTGCAGGCTACTTCTGCCGACGGCCGGTGTTTGGTAGTTTGATTCTGACTGCCTCAAGCCTGACTCAGTCTTCCATCCTTTCGAGGATGGTAAAATGAGGACCCAGATTGTTGGGGGCAAAGATGCTGACTCTATATAAGAGCTATTGCTATTGCTGTCCTTCCTTCCATCCATCCATCCATCCCACCCTCACACCCATACATCATTACAAAGAAAACTATAACCTTGAAATAATAGAAAATTATAGACTAGAACTGATAACCTTTTCCATTACAGGGACCTAAAAGTCAAAAATAAACCCCCTTTCTTTCTTCTCGCACACAGATCTGGATAGTCCGAAAGACTTGGAGATTATTGACCCCACCGAAACTGCCTTTACTTTACGCTGGAAGAGACCCTTGGCCAAAATTGACCGCTACCTCCTTACTTACGTCACCCCACTGGGAAAGAAGAATGAAATTGAGATTCCAGCTGATAGCACCTCCTATATTCTTCGGTCATTAGAGGCTGGAATGGAGTACACCATCATCCTTGTGTCTGAAAAAGGCCGACTCAAGAGTAAGCCCTCAACGGTCACGGGTTCTACAGGTAGGTGAGAGTCTTGATCCTCACTTATGTCCATTGGCAGATCTGCTAAGCACCTACTTTTCTCTGGTACCACGGTGAGGGCGTTGGTCTACTCTAGATGCATTGAGATATCTTCCCAAGTCTTGTCTTGTGGAGATTCTCAACCATCCAGGCCATGCTTATCCCCAAAGGCGTTTTTCAAAAGGCAAGTAGACTTCCTTTTGGTTCTCCTCTCAAATTCTGCTTCCTCAACCTTGACGTCCTCCAGATGGGTAAGCGTCTCCCTTCCAAATTTATCCTTGCAAAGAATTCCACTGATTGAAACCCCAAACCTCTGGCTGGGAGGGCCCTATTGGGGAAAAAAGAGTTATTTTCTAAAGGATATCTCCGTTGTGCTGTTCTGCTCCGTGCTAATCCATCTCACAAACCACTTGTGATAATTCTAGAAAGTTGCTTTCTAAGCATTCCATGGCCTCCTGAACCATCTCGCGTACCTTTATTAGATCTGTCAAATTGAAACGCGATGTCAAGTGGGGGACAGGTCCTGCTGTAAAGGACCAGCTTCAAACATGACGTGTGAGTTTCAGAAAGGCTTCTAGATACCTTCTCGTTCTCATGGGCATGTTTAAAAAAACAAAGTAGTCCTCAACTTGCGGCTACAACTGAGCCCAACTTTTCTGTTTTTGCTGAACGAGACAGTTGTTGAATTTTACAACCTCTCTTGCTAGAATTATTAAATGAATCACTGTAGCTCTTAAATTAGTAACCCGGTTGTTAAGCGAATCTGACTTCCCCCCATTGACTTTGCTTGTCAGAAGGTCACAAAAGGGGATCACACAACCCCAGGACACTACCACCACCTCCTCCTCCTCCTCCTCCTCATAACTGGAGGAGATAGCTGTATGCCAGACAGCCTATACTGGGTCTCCTAGAGTAACCTACTACTCTCTCCAGATGTTGTCCTAACATCTGGATTAAACAAAGAGGTGTTTGCTGATCTATCTGGCTTCTCTACACAAGACAGGAAGAACGCATTCTTTCCTTAGACTTAAGATAAAATAATTTTCTGGCTAGATCTGTGCAGTCAGCGGTTAAGCAGACAGGGAATGAAAAAAAAAAATGATGCTCGTGCTTCCGAGAAGAATCCCAGGGGTAACATGAATATTAAAGCTTTGTCCATCCCTCCTTGGAGCTGCCTCCTGATTACAATTCCACAACCATTTGGAACTAGCAAGCCTTGCATGATTAGTGACTGCCCCAAAGCAGTGGGGAGACACACACCCCCCAAAGCAGCCGTGAAACCTCAAAAGACCACATAAAGCATAACGAGTGCTTGTTAAAAATGGGCCTTGGCAGAAGCCACGTCTCCCCGATTGCTTGATTGGTGCTGCAACTTAATATCAGGTTTACGTTCTCTTTCTCGCCCACGTTGCCAAGGAGTCGTGGGGAAACCTGATGCTCAGTGTTCTCTTGGACGTGGCCTTGGCGCTTGTGAAGAGAGATGGGTTTATAAATACATAACCAAAAGGGTCAATCCTTGGTTACTTGGCTCCGTAGAGTTGATCATCCAGTTGACTTCTTTGTCCTTCTTTAGAAGAAGAAGCTGAGCTGGGGAATTTATCAATTGCAAACGTCTACTGGGATGGATTCTTCCTCACCTGGACCGCAGCTGATGGGGCCTATGAGACTTTTGTCATACAGGTGCGGGAGTCGAACCAAGCAGAAGATACACGGATTCTCACCCTTCCAGGGACTCAACGGTCCATAAGCCTCTCCGGTCTCAGACCAAGTACTCTTTACACAATCACCCTCTATGGGATAACTCAGGGCTACCAAACAAAACCCATCTTTGTTGAATCTACCACAGGTATATTTTTTTCCGCTTTTCTTTTCCTCGTTCAAGCTCCTTCCTCGCTTTCTTCATTTTTTTTTTTACCCAGAAAAAACATTTTCTACCCTGCATCTGATGTTCCTTTGTCCCCTACTAATAATCAGCATATTTCCCCCAGCTTATGGCAATGTATTTGCACCCAGACAAAGCTTGTTAGTAGAGCGGAGAAAACGGAATCGATTTTGCTCCCTGGAACACATAAAAAGGGAATACTTTTTCTACGTTAAATATTTTCATGAGAAAAGAATTGTCCATGGAGGATAAAATAACATCTTCTAACCCGAAGGTCCTCATCTTGAATCTACAAAGACTGAGCTCAAAAACATCCTCCTTTTTATTTCCTCAATTAATTTTATTTGGAGCCCTCTATAATGTGCTTTTTGCTGGGCTCTGCCTATCCTCCATATGAACTTCCAGCAGTGTTGTGGGCTCAATCATCTAAAATATGGTGAGCCACTTTGATTGTTCAGCTCCACCTCTGAATGGGGAGTTGAATTTAATTCCTCTACAATCTACATCATCCTGCCCTTGATTTATTGTTTCAGAATTGGCATTGGAAAAGTAAAAAGTTTGCCATTCAGATGTTCTTGAATATGACTTCCTTTTGCTTTTGACTTTTGAAGATGCTAGCCTGGGCTTAAAGCTTCAACCCTGGTCGTCCTGCTTTCTGCAATTAATCGATTTTGCTTCTGCTTCCCATCCTGTTGCTTTTGTTATTCATTCCTGAGATTCTCTTGCATCCTCTAACATGTAGTACTGGGCCGTGGCATGCCAGCAACTGGTCCGCACAAACAAACAAAGCTCCATCCGTGAGATGCAGGCAACACACAAAACCACGCACTCTCTGGTCTGTGGAAAAACCTTTTTCCATGCAACCAGTCCCTGGTGCCCAAAAGATTGGGGACCTCTGTGCTACTTCATCCCTTTTTTTCCTTCTTAACATGCATTTAAGCTTGGCATGGGCAACTTTGGATTTCCTCCGCTTTCATGCTTGCTTGAGGTCATCTTCCACCAACATGAACGAGGGATGTCCACCTTAAACAGAAGTTCTACAGGTAACAAGCTCTCCTTAAAAATCACCACAAATGTTGTTTAATTCTCCGCAGGGGCCAAATCAGAAGTTGGAAACCTGACTGTTTGGGGCATTACCCCAGAAAGCTTCAACCTCTCCTGGACGACCGCCAAAGGAGACTTTGAGATCTTTACCGTTGAGATTATTGATTCTAACAGGTTGCTGGAACCCATGGAATACAACATTTCAGGCAGTTTAAGGACTGCTCATATCTCAGGGCTGCCCCCTCAGACCAGTTTCATTATCTACCTCTACGGAGTCACTCGTGGCTTCCGCACCCAGGCATTAAGCACAACCGTCAAAACAGGTACCTCGTGATCCTCAAAAGTTAACCCGCAATTTCTTCATTGTCAACCTTCTTTTGCAGCCTGGCTACTTCACCCTTCCATCTTCTCCTTGACCTAGCCCTTGTTTTCTCGTCTAGACCTTCTCGCAGACAGCTCCTAGTGCGGATTTTCATGCAGACTTGAAAAAAAGAGTAACTTTTTTTTTTTGCTCCAGCTTAAGCTTTGGAAAACAAGGAAACGTAAACGGGTAAATTTGGGGTCCTATTGGCAACCTCGGGAGATGCAGCTATGAGTTTTATGATCCCCTAAAAGCCAGTTAGCCTTCAGAAAGTCTATTCTTAGTTGCAATTAGATGAGTCTGCAAATTACTCACTAATAGTTGGGTTTGAGTGAGGTGGTCAGTGTGGTGTTGGACTGCTATCCCATTCTGAGCTAACTGGAAGGGCTTGTGGGATAAAATATTACCCTCCACACAAAATGCAGATCCATCAGCTCACATGGACATCTAACGTGTTAGGAGAAAAATGGAGAAGACCTTATTTTCCCTGTCCAAATAGTTTGACATGTGTAATAAGCACAATGAGTACACTTAGAGAAATTTAATGAATTTCTGCTTCCGGCCACTCTCATTATTTAAATTTATATTGTTCTTTTTCTCCAGAAACTCAAAACTCCTCTGTTTTTTCCCCCTGTTGAGTTGGGATGGACGGATAGAAAAAAATGTCTGCCCCAGAGGACTTTCCAGGGCAGAGGGTGACTTCAATTGGGCTTTCCTTAGTCTGAATCAACACTTTATATTACCCCGATGGTCTTCCCTGTAGATCTAGACAATAGACAATAAGAACACCAGTACCAGTTGCACACTGTTCCTGAAGCCATGTGGAGGTTTGCTATCACTAATTTAAGATCAGGTGTAATTATAATGTTCAGTCTCATGACCAGGTTGATGGCAAACGCAACAGGCCTTGACAATTCCAACTTGTATCATCACCACCACTTGCTTTTCCTGGTGATTCCTTTGACTTTTATTTACAATCTTCTAAGACCATCTCACCTAGTTCCTCTCATCTCAAGGAATCTGAAGAATCTAGGAACCTGAGTGAGCTTACAAGGCAAAATAATAGAATCGCAGTGCTTGCGTTCCCACAATTAAGGCAGTTTGATGAACGGAAACTTTCTTCTGGTATGAATGCATTCAGTCTACATGCATTTACGCTCTTTCTGGGTGCATAACCTAGATACATATTAACCTAGATACATATATCTAGAAGGATTATGTGCGACATAATGCCTAGGGCAATATATGTATCGATGTTTGTTCTACTTGGCGTCTCTGCGGAACATGCCTGGACTTGATTCAAAGCATCTATTGTCCTATAGCTACTGTATCTTGATGTTCTTTCTAGTTGCTTCTCTCTTTTTTTTCCCCAACATGGTGAAGTCTGGCTCTCCAGTGATCTTGACTTCCTAGGAAATGGTTCTTTGCATGTGATGTTCTTTGCACCTTGTGTACAAGCCAAAGATCGGCTACAGAGGGTAGAAGACCTCTGCATTTTCAATATTGCAACGCATCATGCAAAAACTCGCATGCGTTTTTTCCAAGCATCCTCTCTGCCTGAGCATTCTTGCATATCTTTGGAAACCAGAAATGGAATCCAGAAGGGGGGGGGGAACCAAATCTCTCTCTTCCTTAAGGCTTTCTCTGTTGGCTTGTAAACAATCGGTGGGATTGTGACACAGATTCCGAGGAGATTCCAGACAATTTTTGTGGTCGTCGGTATCTCTGGGAGATTTTCTTAAATCCGAGTGCATGTCAGAAACTTTGAGGCCCAAGGATTATGCCTGATCTGAATGCAAAAGCATGCTCTGAACAAAGCCATAAAGAGTATGAATACGGAGAAAGCAATCTTCAAATCGCATGAACGTCTGATGAGAACATGTCTTCTATCTGTGTGTTCTTTCCCTTTTAAGGAAGCTAGCCATCTTGCTGGGTTCATGCTTCTGTGGATCTTGATCATTACAGCAGGAAACCTTTCCCTGCTGGCTTTTGCTGGCCCCTTTCTGGCAACCTGGATGCAGTTCTTGCATGATTCCTTAATTGAGGCGACTCCAGCACTCTTGATCCAAAACAGGCACATACATCTTTTCGTAGTACTGGACCGGTCTTCCCTTGGTCTTCTTCCCCCAGTCCAATGCCTGACCTTAGAAAAGGGGAAAGTCTCTCTCCATAAACAAACCAAGTCTCTGAAGGTCGCCATGAAATCACGTTTACATTTTGGCATAGTGGGCCATGAAACCAGAATAACAAAATAACAAAGTTGGAAGGGACTTTCGAGGCCTTCTAGTCCAACTCCCTGATCAAGCAGGAGACCCTAGACCATTTTAGACAAATGGTCGTCCAGTCCCTTCTTAAAAGCCTCCGCAAGTTGTTCCATGGCTTGGTTGTTCTTGACATGGACAATGTTCTTGAAACCAATCCTAACTCAACCGCATTGATGATCACAGCCCAAGCGCAGACCCAAGAGTGGCTTGTTGCAGTTCTGTGGGACACCTCCTTCATCAGCTTGTCAACCAGATCTCCACCAATAATGGTTGTCTTTTTCCCCCCTCCCCCATTGTGTCCCTTCTCTCTTCAGAACTCAAGCTACAGCTGGGCATACTCACACTCACAAACGTTCATTTGAACGGGTTCTCCTGGAGTACAAGAGAGGAAGCATTTGCACACTTGGCGGTCAATGTTAGAGGTCCCCACCGACATCAGGAGCCTCTGGAGATGACAGTCTCAGAGGAGGTTCACGACACCTTCATTTCAGGCATGGTAGATTATTTGGATTATGAGGTTAACATTCAAGGCCCAACAACAGATGGGGGCCATGGGGATCCCCTCCTCTCTTTGATCCTGGCAGGTACCCTTGCCAAAATCATGGGTGGTTTTGATTTGCTGCAATTTGCTGTTTTCCATTAGGTGGTAACAATCCCAACAACTTGAAGGCCACACGATTGCTATACTGAGATTAATGATCCTGGAACTTCATGGTAGCATAATACATAGAACATAGAATAATAGAGTTGGAAGGGACCTTGGAGGTCTTCTAGTCCAGCCCAGAGCTTCAACAGGAGACCCTATGCCATTTCAGATAAATGGCTGTCCCGTCTCTTTTTGAAAGCCTCCAGTGATGGAGCATCCACAACTTCTTGCAATATATCCTTAGTCTGGCTACCAAATAAACTCATTTTGGAAGTTGCGCGATCTATTGAATCGTCAACTGGCTGAAGGTCTGGGTTAACACAACATCCTAAGCTCCCCAAACCCATCCAAGAATAACGCAAACCAAACTTTGTGTACAGCCACTACACCAAACCCCTTCTAATTATAATCAGTCAGCTCAATGGAGGATGAATCGTGTGCTATTCCCACACTTGGCAATCCACAAAGATAACAAGGGACATACATGCACGCACAACCCATGAATCTCACAGCATAGGCATTGCATCTCATTATTTTAATTTATCCCTTTTTGGGGGGTGGGGGGGAGACCTGTGGTTTGTACCAAATGGCACAGGCAACCTGGTCTAACTCAGCCCCTCTTATCCCTTCTCCCCTTTTGCAGAAGCATTGCCCTCACTGGAAAACCTCACAGTTTCCAGTATTAATCCATATGGATTTACGGTATCCTGGATGGCATCAGAAGATGCCTTTGACAGATTTCTGGTTATCGTGGTGGATTCTGGCAAACTGCTAGATCCCCAAGAATTCCTTCTTCCGGGAAGCCAGCGCCAGTTAACCCTTAGAGGTCTCATAACGGGCATTGGTTATGAAGTCCTTCTTTACGGCTTGGTCCATGGCCACCAAACAAGAGCCTTAAGCATTGTTGCCTTAACAGGTATTTTTTTATTTTTTAAAAAAAAAAGTCACGGAACTAGAATGCTCGTCTCTTCTCACCATTGCCTTCCTCCTCTAGAAGGCCTTTCGTGTCTTCTCCATTCACCGTGGAAACATGAGTTCCTTTTTGCACCTCTTCCTCACCCTTTCACTAATATACTTCCTTTGTCACCTCTTTCTCCATTTCCTTCCTGTCTCTCAATGGACCAACTTTTAAAAGAGCAACAGAATGTGGAGACGTGTCCAATCATTCAAAGAACCTAGAAGAATAGAGATGGAAGGGACCTTGGAGGTCTTCTAGTCCAACCCCCTGCTGGAGCAGGAGACCCCAGGCCATTTCAGATAAATGATTGTCTGGTCTCTTTTTGAAAGCCTCCAGTGATGGAGCACCCACAACTTCTGAAGGCAAGTTGTTCCATTGGTTCCATTCAAATATCTTTGTCGTCCTAGCCAAAGAGTAAAGTCATACTCTATCAGGCTTAATATCTCAACTCTGTCTTTGAAAAAGCAATGTCTGTAAAAGAAGGTGAAGAAAATGATACAATCCAGAACGATCAAGCTGATGTTTAAGTTAGTTCCTAGACTTCTATACCGTTGTATTAGATAGCTTGAAAAGTGGGGACACACCTCCAAAATTCAGCACGCCATCTTTTCAACAACCATGGGATCCATCATCACGTGATCTTCATTTAGCATCGTTGTGTACAGTATAACGCAAGCTCATTACCCATCCAAGGTTGAACAGGACTCCAAAGGAGACTTTACCTTTGTGTTGCAGAAGGTGTCAGAGTGTTTTGATTGACTTTGTTTCAAAGAAGAACGTACTTTTGGAAAACTTCATCATACCCCTTCAGCCGGTCTAGTTTAGCTTTGTCTTCTCTGACCTGCAACAACTCGTCTATCACAAAGCATTCCCAGGCAACTTAAAGACTGAATATGGAACTTCCAAGGCTTCACCAGTAAGCCTCACTCCTACAGCTGATTCTGACTATCCTATTCAAAGTTAAACCCTGTACACATTAAGAAGCTCGACAGAGGTGTTCATGATCACTCATCAATGGTCTATCTACCATCTTTGCATGCCTGATGGAGCTTCATAGGACCAGTGGTGCAACCTAGCTGAGGACCCATGTATGCATTTACTAAACATCCATGGAGATTCTCAGTCATCCAGGTCTTCCCAAAGGTGCTTTTTTTTTCAGGAGACAACTGCACTTTCTTGTTTTTCTTTGAAGAAATTTCACTTCCCATCCATTCACTTCACATCCAGTCAGAGCTGAAGAAGCTTCTTGGCTGAGAAGTGAAACGTCTTCGAAGAAAAACAAGAAGGTCCAGTTGCTTCCTGAAAAAAAAACACCTTTGGGATATGCATTTACTACTCTCTTAAGTACAAGCACCTAACTCCACACACTTTAGAGAGGATTAATGTTCCCTAACCTCTACAGAACATAAAGGAAATTGGAGCCAAAAATATGCATATGAAGGCTGATGTGCACATCATCAGGGAAAACAGTTTGCAAAAAAAAAAAAAAAATCATACACCTGACACAAAACACGATCAGGGCTATATTAGGAGATACATCCAGGTTTTGATCTTGTCTGCAAATCAAATTCTCCTAAATGGGGAATTATACGAAAGCAAAACAGGAAAATCCTCTAGCACCGATTGGAGTCTAAGTCAGGTAAAATATTTGGTAGCTAGAGCCCAACTTGGAAAAGAGTTGATTGTGATGAGTTTAGCAATTGTTGTGTGTCAGGCGGTTCGGATTTGAGTGCCAACGCTGGCTGAGTTGCGAAAACTCAAGCTACAGAAGTGATCTTCCAGGAACACCAGTTAAAAGTTTTCTACAAAAAAAATAAAAATAAAAATCTAGTCCCCCATCAACAAAATACTAAAAATAGTCTTTTTATTTATTTTATTGGTCAATATCAGTGACTCCGATGAAAGACAGAGAACGAATGAACATTCCTTCTTAACTACCAGCATGTCTCATTTTGCATGGTAGGGGAAAGTGTGGTTTTTACACACGGGGGCAACTTTGATTCCCGTGAAGATCGGCCGGGCCGTGTACACCTTTAGTTGGGAATGTATCTTTCTATTAATCGCTGGATACCTTTTTCCTCTCCACTTGTAAACAGCGGATGTTTATTTCCATCCTTCCGGATTTTGCGGTCGGAATGCTCGCATCCTAAGCTAACCCAGACTAGATTCTATGGGATATTTTTTTCTTTCTTTTTCTTTTTTTTTTCGAAAAGGACATTAAAAAAAACAAACAAACTCCTTTGCCATTTCAGAAGCCGAACCTGAAGTAGATCACCTTTTGGTCTCGGATGCTACCCCGGATGGTTTCCGTCTGTCTTGGACGGCGGACGATGGAGCCTTTGACAGTTTTGTCCTTAAAATCAGGGATTCCAATAGACTTTTAGATCCCCTGGAATTAATCGTGCCAGGTCACCAACGGACCCAGGACGTCAAAGGGCTGAAAGAAGGGACCGAATATTATGTAGATCTCTACGGAGTTATCAGCGGACGGCGTTCCCAGCCTCTAAACACAATTGCTATGACAGGTACCTTCGTCTGCCTCTGGCGTGTCAAAGAACACAACCACACGTGCATGCCTATATATGTATTTGTGTTTGCCTTTGTGTGTGTGTGTGTGCGAGTTTGTCTGTTGCATTGGCAGCTGATTCTCAATTTACAGCAGTTCTTTTAGCGACCGTCCAAAGTTACAAACGGCGCCGAAAAAAAAGTGATTTATGATCCGTTTTTCAGATTTACAACCGTTGCAGCTTCCCTGTGGTCACACAATCCAGCTATGATGGTTAATCTCTCTGTGTATAGCTCGGGGATGACATAACGCTCAGATTTGAGATTATTCCCTTGTCCCAAATAGAGAAATAGAGATTATTTTGTTTTGTCCTGCAGCTTTTTTATTCAGCCCTGCTATTTCCCCCTGCCAAAAAAGAGTTTACTATTAAAAGTAAAAAGCTGGGTTGCTGAGAGACTCACTTGCAAATAATGGCTTTTCTTTTGTGGATTTTTTCGTTCTTGTCATAACACTGGACTTCACACAATCTTCACTGTAGCTCCTGCTCCCCAGACTTAGCTGTGTGTTTTCCTCAGCTGAGTGAGCTCTGGAAATGTGTGTTCACACCTCTTCTTTGTTTCTGTCACTCTCTGTTCACAGCGGTGGGATCCCCGAAGGAAATCACTTTCTCAGAAATAACAGAAAGTTCTGCTGTGGTTAGTTGGAAGCCTCCAATGACGCGGGTTGAAAGTTTCCGGATTTCCTACAGGCCGGAAGCTGGAGGTAAGAAACAGTGCTGGCTGCCCATCTTGGCTAATCGTATGCTCTGCTTTGAAGAATGATGCGGATTAAACCAAGCACAGAATTGATGACACTAGAGGAAGAGGCTTGCAAAAGTGAAGACGTTAAGGGTGGATGAGAAAGTGTGTTTGATTGTCGAAGGAACAGCACGAGGGCTCCTTGGTGTCTCTCTGAGCTTAGTTGTTTTCTTGCAGACGTTTCGTGACCCAGATAGGTAACATCATCAGTGTTAGAAGGGAATGGAGTCTGTGGAGAGGAGGAGGAGGAGACGACTGTGGGGTCCTTAGTGTTCTCTGAGCTTGATTGTTTTCTTGCAGATGTTTCATGACCCAGCTAGGTAAAACCTTGTATGAAAGCCCAAACTGACAGTTCTATTCATCCTCTATTCCAGATGATCTCAAATCTCTGACAGTTGATGGAAACAGGAGTAGAATCAAGCTAGTAGATCTGATTCCGGGCATAAAATATGTCGTCAGTGTTGTGGCTGTCAAAGGATTTGAAGAAAGTGAACCCATCTCTGGATCTTTGGTCACAGGTATGTACGGGGAGAAAATTACCGTTGATTTATTCCCCCAGGAGAATAGGGAACTTTAACAAAGTGAATAATATCCAGAAGAAAAAGAGAGAGAGAGAAAAAAAAACACCTCTTCAAAACAAGGTCAACGTGAATTTCTGAATTCACCTCTAAAGCCCTGGTGGCACAGTGGTTGGAATGCAGAATTGCAGGTTGATTCTGCAGGCTAACTTTGCCAACTGCCAGCAGTTCGATCCTGACTGGCTCAAGGTTGACTCAGCCTTCCATCCAGGACCCAGATTGTTGTGGGGCAATAGGCTGACTGCGTAAAATGGCTTTAAAGCACTGTGAAGCAGTATATATGTCCAACTCATGAGATCAGAATAACAGAATAACAGAGTTGGAAGGGACTTTGGAGATCTTCCTGTTCAAGCAGGAAACATTATACAACTTACAGACAAGTGGTTGTCCAGTCTCTTTTGAAAACTCCAGTAATGAAGCACTCACAACTCCTGGAGGCAGGTTGTTCCACTGATTACTTGTTCTCCCTGTCAGGAAATTCCTCCTTAGTTCTAGGTTGCTTCTCTCCTTGATTAGTTTCCATCCGTTGCTTCTTGTCCTGCCCTCTGGTGCTTTGGAGAATAATTTGATCCCCCTGTTCTTTGGGGCAGCCCCACAAATACTGGAACATACTGCTATCATGTCCCCCCTGGTCCTTCTCTTCATTAAACTAGACATGCCCAATTCCTGCAGCCATTCTTCATGTTTTAGTCTCCAGTCCCCAATCATCTTTGTTGCTCTTCTCTGCACTCTTTAAAGTTCAACCCTTTTCATTTATATCCATTTGCTCAGGGCTTACTTGCTGAGAGTCTACAGATGGGGAATAGTTTAAGGCAGCAATTGGTAATGAGGCCATAACTCAACCCTCTTGCCGAACTGATTCAGCCCAAAGCAGACAAAATTTCCCCAGCTTTAATGCAAAGTATGACAGCTCCTTTGATTAAGCACCATGGAAGCTGAGAGAGAGGATGAAAAATCGCCACTGAATTTTGGCCTTCTGTTCAACCCTTCCCACGCCATCTCCAGTCTCTGTTTTGTTTTCCCCAAGAAATGGCTTGAGGTTGGAAAGACAAACACAGGAGCTGTCCACAAAGGCAGATTGATGAGTACAGGCTGAACTTTTTAAGCCAGGGGCCTCTTTTTAATGAGGGAATATAAGCCAGGCTGCTTTATTTCGACATCTTTTTTAAAGCCACTTGCACATTCCTTTCTTTTTGATTTGGACTACACGTCCACCTAACTGCATCTTCTTGAACTCGGCACATTCTGGGGGGAGAAATTGGAGGGATTATGTGGGCCCTTCTGTCTTCTTTATTGGAAATTTGGTCACTGTCAATTGGATGGCAATCGAACGAGTCAGTCGCATGCAGCGTAGTAGAATAGAATAGAATAGAATAGAGTACAGTACAGTACAATACAATATAATACAATACAATACAATACGAGATAGAAAATAGAATAGAATAAAATAGAAAATAGAAATTATAAATAGAATACAATACAATACAATACAATACGAGATAGAAAATAGAATAGAATACAATACAATACAATACAATACAATACAATGCCCCCTTTAGCGACCATCTGACAAGCAAAGCCAATGGGGGAAGGCTGGATAACTTAATAATGGCAGGGGTTTGCTTAACAAGTTGCAAAATAGGGCAAAACTCACCCAACCAATTTCTTACTTAGCAACATAAACTGGGGGCTCAATTGTCGCCGTAAATTGAGGACTACCTGTACATGCACAACTTCCCATTATGACCCCAGTGCGCATATCCTTCAATGGATTGGACAATATTGTCCATATTGCTGGAGCAGGAGATCTCCAAGGTCCTTTCCAATCCTATTGTTGTATGTTCGGTGTGCTCAAGCAGGGAGTTGTCATTTATTGCAACGGTGTTGCTCTCTTTCTAGAATTGGATAGTCCGTCCGGGCTGAGGGTGGTGAACATCACGGATTCCAAAGCTTTAGCTGTTTGGCAGCCAGCCCTTGCCGCAGTCGATGAATACCTGATTTCCTATCTTGGAGAAGCAGGTGAGTTCTGATTGCTCTGGAGCTATTCCGAGTTTTCCCACTCCGGGAAAAGTGAGCATCAAATCCAATCATGTGATTTTGTGACAGCCTTAAGGCCAGAAAACCGTGATATCACCACTAAAAAGGAAGCAAAACTGGCTTTCTGCGCAGGGGTGGTGAGAATTTTAATCCAAAATAGCTAGGATTGTGGCGGCCAGGCCCGGCTGCTGATGTTGCTGCGCTGTTTTCAAGAGATCTTGAAAGAGAGATGCAACTCCGTTGGCGTGGCTGTGGGAACAAATGCCTCTCTCTCTCCCCCCCCCCAAAAAAAACCAAAACCCCAACAACCTTCCAATGCTATCTTCCACAGAAGAAAGACCATGCTGAGCCCAGCAGCTCTACTCTGCATGCCACAGATCACTCCAGCATGAAATTTGTCAACATCCACAAGCACTGGATGGATGGATGTCTCTTAAAATAAGCAAAGCAAGAGGAACAACTCACGTTTGCTCATTTATCTTATGTTTATCCTTATTGGTCATTCAGAGGCAGAAGTGACACGGAGAGTATCCGGCAACACGATGGAATATGATCTCGTTGGCCTTCGACCAGCTACCGAATACACCCTGAAGATTCAAGCCATCAAAGGCCCGCAGAAAAGCAGAATCCTCTCTGCCAAATTCATTACAGGTAACTTGTTCTGGCTTTCATCTCATTTGCTGAGATCCCTGAAGTTGGGTCAAGTCGTGACACCTGATCCAGGTTTCTGTGTCCCAAAGTGGCCTATTCAGGGAAGTCCCAAAACAGGAAATTCGTACCTTAGAGGATCAACCTTGTTAACTCTCAAGATGCTTTTTTTTCCTACTATGTATTCAAAATGGACTGTGATTAAGATAGATAGATGATAGATGGATGGATGGATGGATGGATAGATAGATAGATAGATAGGTAGGTAGGTAGGTAGGTAGGTAGGTAGGTAGGTAGGTAGATAGATAGGTAGGTAGGTAGGTAGGTGGATGGACAGATAGATAGACAGACAGACTTAGACAGATGGACAGACTTAGACAGACAGACAGTAGATAGAGATAGATAGATAGATAGATAGATGGATGGATGGATGGATGGATGGATGGATGGATGGATGGATGAGAGATTTGTGCTGATGGAGTTCCGTCAAGCTGAATCCTGTAAACCATCTCACAATATTAGGTCCTGATGCTCCCAAAGCTCTGACTGCTTCAGATGTCCAGTTTGAAACAGCCCTGCTCACGTGGAAGCCCCCCCAGGCATCTATCACAGGCTACCTCCTGATCTATGAAGCTGCTGATGGCAAAGTCAAGGTAAGGGTTTAGGTCCAGAATTGGTCCTCTCTTACATGCAAATCATCTATTGCTCTATTGGTAGCATTTAAAGGGCTTTCTCCTTATTCTTCTATTTCCCAGTGGCTAGACTGGGAAGTCAAGGGACAAAAGGGAAGACAATAGATGCGTCCATGATGTTGTCAAGAAAAAACTGCATGGATAGAAGGATTGGAAATTAAACTCAACTCAAGGCATTTTTATTTTAGATGGACTTGTAAGAAGTTCAGGTCTGCTAGAAAACAGTCCATCTGTTAATTCAATGCAGTTATTTTCATAGAGGTAGATCTTTGTATTTAATAAGCTCCAAACAAGTCATGGACATGCTAAATCAGGCATACCAGAGGTGTTTTGGACATGGTACATTCATGTGAAATTTTTGGACAAGTATTGTTCCTAGAAAAGGAGTAGGGATGACATGATAGCAGTGTTCCAATATCTCAGGGGTTGCCACAAAGAAGAGGGAGTCAACCTATTCTCCAAAGCACCTGAGGGCAGGACAAGAATCAATGGATGGAAACTCATCAAGGAGAGAAGCAACCTGGATCTAAGGAGGAATTTCCTGACAGTTAGAACAATTAACCAGTGGGACAACCTGCCTCCAGAAGTAGTGGGTGCTCCATCACTGGAGGTTTTTAAGAAGAGATTGCACACTCATTTTTCTGAAATGATATAGGGTTTCTTGCCTGAGTAGGGGGTTGGACTAGAAGACTTCCAAGGTCCCTCCCAACTCTGTTATTCTATTCTGTTCTGTTCTATTCTATTCTATTCTATTCTATTCTATTCTATTCTATTCTATTCTATTCTATTCTATTCTATTCTATTCTATTCTATTCCATTCCATTCCATTCCATTCCATTCCTTATTTCTATTCTACCCTACCCTACCCTACCCTACTCTACTCTAGATCCAAAAATGGGAATGAAGTAAAGCTGGGAGACAATTACAGCCCGAATTTCATCAGTCTTCGGAACCGTTTTCTTAAAGTTGTATGTATTATTCAACCAGCATCCATCTTCATTCTTTCTTGGTCTTCTACCTTTATATCTCTGGCAGGAAGTGGTCCTGGGGCCCGAATTGACTTCTTATAGCCTGGTGGACTTGAGTTCATCCACTTTGTACACAGCAAATCTTCAGGCACTGTTCCACACATTAAAGAGCAACTTCATCCAAACCACGTTCACCACAAGTAAGGGATGGCCTTTTCCAAAGAAAGTCATAGGGCAATTCCATTTGGGGGGCGGGGGGGGGAGAGGAAGAAGGATAAATTAAAAGCAAAAAGAAGAAGAAGAAGAAGAAAGAGGTAGAAAATGGTGAGATGAAATGAAATTTGCTATTCAAAAATCTTGGCAGCCTCTGAAGGAGTGGGGTGTGATAGAATACAATTCCTTCTTTTCTGTGATTATTGTGTTGTACGGGAAGCATGATGTGGTGCTCATGGAAGACATAGGCAGAGATTATGCAAAGAAAATCCTCCCGTTTCCCCATTGGCATAAATCTGGAACAATAGATTACTCTTTGCAAAAAGAAAGTGAAGCATAACACAGTTTTATAACGGGCCAGAAAAAAAAATGAAATACTGTAAGCTGGGAGGGACAGAACTGCATTCCACACCCCCTCCACTGACCACAGTCCCCAGGTCTAGCTTTCTTTTTCTTTTTAATCCTAATGGTTGTAATGCAAACATTGTGTGGAGAGAGGGAAGAGACAGAGAATGTCAATAGGGAGAAGGAGGAGGGGGAGGAGAAGAAGATAAAAGAGGAGGAGGAGAAGGTAAAAGAGGAGAAAGAAAAGGAGGGGAAAGTAGGAGAAGGAGGGGAAAGGAAAAGGCGGAGGAGAAGGTAAAAGAGGAGGAGGAGGAGGAGGAGAAGGAGGAAAAAATAAAAGAGGAGGAGAAGGTAAAAGGAGGAGGAAGAGAGAAGGAGGAGAAAGAGGAGGAGGCGAAGGTAAAAGGAGGAGGAGAAGGAGAAGAAGGTAAAAGAGGAGGAAGAGAGAAGGAGCAGAAAGTAAAAGAGGAGGAGAAGGTAAAAGGAGGAGGAGAAGGAGAAGGAGGAGAAAGTAAAAGAGGAGGGGAAGGTAAAAGAGGAGGAGGAGAAAGAGGGGAAGGTAAAAGAGGAGGAGGAGAAGGAAGAGAAGGTAAAAGAGGAGGAGAAAAAGAAGGAGAAGGAGGAGAAGGTAAAAGAGGAGAAGGAGGAGGAGGAGGCAAATGTCCTCTTCGACAACACATCCTGACTTCCCTTCTCTTCCCTTGCCTGCAGCTGGACTCCTCTACCCTTTCCCCAGAGACTGCTCCCAAGCTCTGCTGAATGGAGAAATCGCCTCTGGACTCTACACCATTTATCTCAACGGCAATCAGTCTCAGCCCCTGGAAGTGTACTGCGACATGAGTTCTGACGGAGGCGGGTGGATTGTATGTATTTCTCTCTTTGGCTTCTTCTTCCCTTCTTAAAGTGTTTTTGTGTGTGTGTGTGTGTGTGATTTGCACCGGTGCATGGAGAACCTAAGAAATGGCAGAAGCTTCTCCTACGCTTCAGAGAAACTCCTGCCGTACCTTAGCTTCTCACCTTGGATGTCTTTCCTAATTGATCGCAAGACTTTAGAGAGCAACCCATAGTAAGGAAGGTTAAGGAAGTTGTGCTGGCTAATGTCCAGCTCAGATCCTGTTTACCGTTCTCTAAAATGACCCTAATTGCATTGGGATTCCTCACAGGTCTTTCTGAGAAGGCAGAACGGCGAAGTAAACTTCTACCAGAACTGGAGGACTTATGAGAGTGGCTTTGGAGATCCCAACAATGAATTCTGGCTAGGTAGGTGGCTACATAGTTTATTGAGTCAATCAAGATCTATTGGTTCTGCTAAATGAATATGCAGGACTTCAAACTCCTGTATGCTTCACTAGAATGGTAAAATCCAATAAGGTTTCCCACCATGATGTCACTCCTACCAAGCTTACTTGTTTCCAAAATCACGTTATCAACCGTTACAACTGGTGGTGGGAAGCAGATAATTTCAATTACAGTTTCATTCATCTCTAACATGTGGCCATGCAGACTAAAACCCATAACACATAAAGTCCAAAACATTGGTGGGCCCAATAAACACATGGGGGGGTAATTTCAGCTGGCTGAGGAATTCTGGGAGTTGAAGTCCACAAGTCATAAAAGGGCCAAATCTGAAGACCCCTGGTCTAAACCCACTACAATGAAGGTCAATAGATTGAGCTACACTTGTTAGATATTTTGTGCCACCACTTCAACACACAAATTATGCCACGTTTTTTCGAGCAATGCATCCATGGAGGTTGCGACGAGCAGTCCATTCTATTGCAGATTATGAATGTTTTTTTTTAAAAAAAAAACCCTCTGACAGATGAATGTTTGAGTTCAAATGTGTGTTTTCCTAAAACTCTTAAGAGTTGAAGGCAAGTGACACAAAGATGGCCACTGGACAATCTCCAATCACTTAGTTGTTGGCTTTTTGTTTTCGCAGGGCTGGACAAGCTTCACAAAATCACTTCCCAAGGCCAGTATGAGCTGAGGGTGGATCTGCGCGACCGCGGAGAGACTGCGTATGCTCTCTACAACAAGTTTACTGTGGGTGATGCCAGGACACGCTATCGGCTGAAAGTAGATGGCTACAGTGGCAATGCAGGTAGATCTTTCTGATTGTTTTGTGAAAAGTAGGATTGGCAGCCATTTCTCTGGGGTCCTCGGTGCTGTCTGAGCTGGGTGGTTTTCTTGCTGACGTTTCATGACCCAACTCGGTAACATCATCAGTGCTGGAAGGGAGTTTGCAAGGAGGAGGACTATGGGGTCCTTGGTGCTCTCTGAGCTTGGTGGTTTTCTTGCTGATGTTTCATGACCCAACTAGGGAACATCATCAGTGTTCCATCAGTGCATCATTAGCATTGGTGATGTTACCTAGTTGAACCATGAAACATCTGCAAAAAAACCACCAAGCTCAGAGAGCATCGAAGACCCCACAGTCCAGTACCACCACCACCACCATCTCCTCCTCCTTCTCTTTCTCCTCCTCTTCCTCCCTGCAAACCCTTCTAGCACTAATGATGATGATGTTACCTAGTTGGGTCATGAAACATCTGCAAGAAAACAACCATGCTCAGAGAGCACCTAAAACCATATAATCTTCCTCCTCCCCCCTCCTCCTCCCTTCTGCAAACCCCACTCCCTTCTAACACTGGTGAAGTTCCCTAGCTGGGTCATGAAATGTCTGCAAGAAAACATCAGAGCTCAGAGAGCACCGAGGACCCCACAGTCTTCCTCCTCCTCCACTCTGCAAACCCTACTTCCTTCTAGCACTGATGATGTTACTTAGTTGGGTAATGAAACATCTGCAGGAAACCCTGAGCTGCAAATACTCTCTTCTGCTAGCTGCTTCTGTCTTTTGTTCTGAAAATCCGGTGCTCCGTGGCCATAATAGTAATAATAATCCCGACAGTAATACAACTATCCTTATTTACATGTCAAAAATATTCTCCTCTTCCCATCCTCTAGGTGATTCCATGAGTTACCACAACGTGCGACCGTTCTCCACTTTTGACAAGGACCACGACTCTGCCATCACAAATTGTGCCTTATCGTACAAAGGGGCGTTCTGGTACAAAAACTGCCATCGGGTCAACCTTATGGGTCGGTACGGAGACAACAGCCACAGCCAGGTAAGTAGTTCTGGTTGAGTCAATTGGCCTCCATTAGCATTGAAGATTAGAATAGAATAGAATAGAATAGAATAGAATAGAATAGAATAGAATAGAATAGAATAGAATAGAATAGAGCTAGAAGGGACCTTGGAGGTCTTCTAGTCCAGCCCCCTGCTCAAGCAGGAGGACCTATACCATCTCTGACAGATGATTGTCCAGTCTCTTTTTAAAAACTAAACCACCAGGGACTCTACATCACCTCCTCCTCCTCCTCCCTGTAAACACTCTCTTCAACCACTGATGATGTCATCTAATTTGGGTCATGAAACATCTGCAAGAAAGCCACCCAGTTCAGAGAGCACCAAGGACTCCCTCATTTCAACCCCGAGCTTCCAAAGATTCTCCTCCATTGATGAATCAAATTAAAATATAATTAGTCGGCCATTGACAAAAATATCCACATCGCCTCCCTTCCTCCGAGTTCACGGCACGGCTTTCTGTTGTTTTTTTTGCAGGGCGTCAACTGGTTCCACTGGAAAGGCCACGAGCATTCCATCGCCTTTGCGGAGATGAAAGTCCGACCTTCCAGTTTTAGGAACTTAGAAGGAAGGCAGAAGAGAGCATAAAGGATCTTTTTTTTTTCTTCTTTTTCTTTTTCTTTTTTGGCATTGACCGAGGGGGGGGGAAACCAGAATAAAAAGGGTGGGAGAAAAAAATAGAGCCTTTCTCCCCACCCCACCCAGAAAAAAATTGAGAAGAGAGAGCGATTGGCGACGAAGCTGGAACGTGTGTACCAAAGCATCCGTGTTGTTGTTGTGAGCGCTTACTCTGTGGCTCCCTTTGACCAGTTTCTATTTTTTTTTTTTTTTTTTTTTTGTGGAGTGTGGGTTGGGAAAGCCTTGTTCGAAACATGCGTTCTTTTTCCTTGTCCATAGATGGCTTTCTTTGCACCAAAGAAGATAATCTTGGAAGGAGAGGGAGGGAAGGAAATATTTCTTCACAGGACTTTTCATTTTTTCTCAGTGGGCTTTTGTTGACTTGAAACTTGGTGGGTCAGAGGAACAGTAGCTGAAGCTGGGGAAATAAAGGACTTTCTTTCTTTCTTTCTTTCTTTCTTCCTTTCTTTCTTTCTTTCTTTCTTTCTTCCTTTCTTTCTTTCCTTCCTTCCTTCCTTTCTTTCTTTCCTTCCTTCTTCCTTCCTTTCTTTCATATTCCTTTCTTTCTTCCTTCTCTCATTCCTGTCTCCTTCCTTCCTCCATATCCCTTCCTTCCTTCTCTCCTTCCTTTCCTTCCTTCCTTTCTTTTTTCTTTCCTTTCTCTTTCTCTTCTTTTTTTCTTTCTCTTTCTTTCGTTCTTTCTTTTTCTCGCTTAACAAACTATATGTTTTCACATCAACAGACACAAAAAAAAATCATATTTCATTCCGAACCATTAGTTCACTCTCTAGAGTCTCTCTTCATCTCCATCTATCCGTCCATCCATCCATCCATCCATCCATCTATCTATTTCTCAGTACCAGGAAGTCCAGAGAGTGTGGGAGTAAAACAGTTCAGCCTAAAAAATTAATATTATTAATATAAATGAAAAAAGGGATTATAATAATAAGCTAAATTTGTGTCCTTTTTAAAAAAAATAGAAGCCCATGCTTTCTGAAATACAACAGGATGGTGTCTGATTGTAATTTTTTTTTAATTAATAAATAAAAGCACAAGTTTACTTTTATACACAATTCTGGTTTCTTTCTGCCCCAGGGCGGTGTTGTTTGTGTGCAAAATCAGGGTTGTGTTGGAATAAGAGTGCAATTGTAGGGGGTGTGTGTGTGTGTGTGTGTATTTATGTATTAAATGGATGCAGATCAGTTTTGATTCAAAACACCAATTTCACTCAGAATTAAAGCAGCAACTTTAATTTTTTTCTTGGAGTATGATTCCTTCCTTCCTTCCTTCCTTCCCTCCCCCTTCCTCCACTTTCTTTCTTTCTTTCCTTCTTCCTTCCTTCTCTTTCTCCTTCCTTCCTTCCTTCCTTCCTTCCTCTCTTTCTTTCTTTCTTTCTTTCTTTCCTGTCTTTAACTAAGGCATATAAAAGGAGGAGAGAGAGAGAGAGAGAGAAGGAAACAGGGAGAGAGAAAGAGAGAGACAGAGAAAAGAGAGAGAAAAAAGAAAAAGGGGAAGGAGGGAGAAACAGAGAAAGACAAAGAGAGGGAAACAGAAATAAAAACAGCAAAAGAAATAGACAAAGACAAAGAAAGAGAGAAAGAAAGAGAAAAAATAGAAAGAGAACAGAGAAAGAGAAACAAAGAAATAGAGAGAGCACCAGAGAAATAGAGAGACAGAGAGAGAAAGAGAAAGAGCGAGAATAAATCAAAGAATTGTTTATGGGTTACTTCACAGATTTCAATGTATTTCAGTTCTTCAACCTCAAAACATCCCAGACAGGATCGCGTCAGATCCATACTGTAAATAACAAATGCAAGTCTAAAAATAAGACATGGTCAAGCCTTCGCAGTCAAGCTACTTTGGCTGGTGAGCAAAGGACAAGCTTTTGAGATGGGCTGCATTGCGCCCATCCTTGGTGTTCTCCGCACATAACCAAAAAAAGGAAACTTCGGATACTTTACGTGACGCATGATGTTACCAACCAAAGGTCATTTATCCTGTCCGCATATTTAACAGAAAGCTGCAAGATTCTGCTAACTTGGGAGCCAGGAACATTAACAACATTAACTGGCATTTTTATGACTGCACGTTGTTACCTGTTATCCGGGCACAGAGAATGGGGTTTCCGAAATGTCATTCTGCTGGAAACCTCCATTGGCAGCTGAGTTACTCATTATATGATCGGAAACCATAACTCGCAGTTTTCCCCACCAGCAGCTCTGCACTGGCGACCCAGTTACTTTTGCTAAAGGACATGAGTCAGGATCTATCTGGATTTCCTTGGTAGGGAAAATGCACAATCCAAGGCAGGGGGTCTTCAACCTTGGCCCTTTGATGACTTGTGGACTTCGACCCCCAGAATTCCTCAGCCAGGCTGGGAGTCAAAGTCCAAAAGTCATAAAAGGACCAAAGTTGAAGACCCCCTGCTCTAGAGACTTGCTAGGCTCAGCAGAAGACCTTCATTCAGATAACCTAAATATGACAAAAAGCTCCTCCATTTATGCCAGGGATCCCCAAACTGGGCAACATGAAGACATATGGACTTCAACTGCCAGAATTCCTCAGCGAGTTAACCAAAGCTGCCAAACTTGGCAACTTTAAGACTTGTTGTGGACCAATTCCCAGAATTGCTCAACCAGATTTATGGACTTCCTCAGCCAGCCAATGAAATCATGGAATTGAACTTCGCAAGCCTGGCTGAGGAATTCTGGGAGCTGAAGTCCACAAGCCTTAAGCTTGATAACTGCCTTCCAGTAGTTGAGGGACAATCACAGAAAAGAGGGAATTGACTTATTCTCCAAAGCACCTGAGGGCAGGACTAGAAATATCAGGTAGAAAATCCGTAAAGAGTAATCCAGTCTAGAACTAAGGAGAAATTTCATTATGTGGAACAATTAATCAGTGGAAGGATTTGCATCCAAGACATGGTGGGTGTTCCATCATTGGACATTTTCAATAAGAGACTGGGCAGCCATTTGCCTGGAATGGTATAGGGTTTCCTGCCTGAGCAAGGGTTAGACTAGATGACCTCCAAAGTTCCCTCCAACTCTGCTATTCTGTATTTTTGCTACCAGGAGCTCATTTCTCAAATGTGGGCTTGTAGTGCCATCTAGTGGTTCAGTATGGAGATTTCACATAAAAGGAATTTGGCAAAATACTATAGGTACAGGTGAAATACACATCTCCATTTTAACCATCATCAAAGGAAATCACAAACTGTGATAACTATGTTCAGATACATTAAAAATGCCCCCCAAATAGGAAAAGAAATAATGGGTGTACATTACAGTCAAGTAAATATTGCATAAACCAGGGGAGTCCAACTTTAGCAACTTTAAGACTTGTGGATTTCAATTCCCAGAATTCTTCAGCTGGTCATGCTGGCTAAAGAATTCTGGGAGTTGAAGTCCATAAGTCTGGCTGAGGAATTCTGGGAATTGGTCCAAAAGTTGCCAAGATTGGAGACTCAACTCCCAGAATTCTTGAAACAGACCTATGGACCTCAACTCCCAGAATTCCTCAGCCACACTCGTTGACTTCAACTCCTAGAATGCCTCAGCCAGACTTATGCAATTCCCAGAATTCCTTAGCTAGACTTATGGACTTCCCAGAATGCCTCAGCCAGCCATGAAGTCATGGAGTTGAAATTCAAAAGCCTGGTTGAGGAATTCTGGGAATTGAAGTCCACAAGCCTGGCCGAGGAATTCTGGGAGTTGAAGTCCACACGTCTTAAACTTGATAACTGCCTTCCAATAACTGAGGGACAATCACAGAAAAGAGGGAATTGACTTATTCTCCAAAGCACCCGAGGGCAGGCTAGAAATAACAGGTAGAAAATCCTTAAAGAGAAATCTAATCTAGGATTAAAGAGAAATTTCCTGATGTGGAACAATTAATCAATAGAAGGATTTGTGTTCAGATATGATGGGTTTTCCATCACTGGACATTTCAATAAGAGACTGGGCAGCCATTTGCCTGGAATGGTATAGGGTTTCCTGCTTGAGCAAGGGTTAGACTAAATGGCCTCTAAAGTTCCCTCCTGCTCTGCTATTCTGTATTTTTGCTACCAGGACCTCATTTCTCATACATGGGGCTGCATTGCCATCTAGTGGTTTTGAATAGAAATTTCACATAAAGGCATTTTGGCAAAATATTATAGGTACAGGTGAAACACCTTCATTTTGACCATCATCAAAAGAAATCACAACGGCTGGATTTGGGTCTACTAGCTACGTGCCTCCTTGGTGCTGTTTTTGCTGCTTATGCAGTTCTGAACAGCATCAAAAGAAGTTTCATGTGATACAGATATGAAGTACTGATGGTGGTGTGTGTGGTGCTCTTTGACCTTAGCTGTTTCTTGCAGACCTTTCATTGCCCAATAAGGTAATCCCATCAGTGCTCATTCCCCTTTGTTGCGCTCTGATAAATCTATGCCTCAATTATTGTGTATGATTCAGGGTTTATTGACTGGCTAAAACAAATTCAGAGAAGGAACTACAACAAAGATAAATACATGCCCAGTGTTTGCAGACTGAAAAAAACCCTGATCCGATCATCTGGAGAAATGCATCCATTTATGTGGACAGAAAAGAACTGTGATAACTATGTTCAGATACATTAAAAATGCCCCCCAAATAGGAAAAGAAATAATGGGTGTACATTACAGTCAAGTAAATATTGCATAAACCAGGGGAGTCCAACTTTAGCAACTTTAAGACTTGTGGATTTCAATTCCCAGAATTCTTCAGCTGGTCATGCTGGCTAAAGAATTCTGGGAGTTGAAGTCCATAAGTCTGGCTGAGGAATTCTGGGAATTGGTCCAAAAGTTGCCAAGGTTGGAGACTCAACTCCCAGAATTCCCCAGCCAGACCTATGGACCTCAACTCCCAGAATGCCTCAGCCAGACTTATGGACTTCAATTCCCAGAATTCCTCAGCTAGGGTTATGGACTTCAATTCCCAGAATGCCTCAGCCAGCCATGAAGTCATGGAGTTGAAATTCAAAAACCTGGTTGAGGAATTCTGGGAATTGAAGTCCACAAGCCTGGCTGAGGAATTCTGGGAGTTGAAGTCCACACGTCTTAAACTTGATAACTGCCTTCCAGTAACTGAGGGACAATCACAGAAAAGAGGGAATTAACTTATTCTCCAAAGCACCCGAGGGCAGACTAGAAATAACAGGTAGAAAATCCTTAAAGAGAAATCTAATCTAGGATTAAAGAGAAATTTCCTGATGTGGAACAATTAATCAATGGAAGGATTTGTGTTCAGACATGATGGGTTTTCCATCACTGGACATTTTCAATAAGAGACTGGGCAGCCATTTGCCTGGAATGGTATAGGGTTTCCTGCCTGAGCAAGGGTTAGACTAAATGGCCTCTAAAGTTCCCTCCTGCTCTGCTATTCTGTATTTTTGCTACCAGGACCTCATTTCTCAAACGTGGGGTTGCAGTGCCATCTAGTGGTTTTGAATAGAAATTTCACATAAAGGCATTTTGGCAAAATATTATAGGTACAGGTGAAACACCTTCATTTTAACCATCATCAAAAGAAATCA